AATAACAAAGTATGAGGATCCCCTGTTAGTGAGTCAGTTTTCAAATGTATTTTGTCAAACAGGCTGGAAGTCTCGTTGCATGGTGGGCGCTAGCTAGGGATGTGTAGTCGTGGTAATACGCAGCTTTGCAAAAGTGGTGCAAAAACTAGCAAAAAATGCATTCAACTTATTGCGTTGAAGAGCGAATTAAAAGTCGGTCCGTATTCGTATTGCGAAGTATTCTGCGTAGCTTGTTCACTTTTAAAAATACTCATTTTTTTTTTTCAAATTTTTTTAGCCTTTTTATGCGTTTTTTGCATCTATGCAGTGTGAAAACTCATATTGTCGAGGAATGGCCTGTGTGTGCACCTGCACCGATTTTTCACCTCCAGACATAGAAAAGCTACAGGGCTGAAACTTTGGGAACTTAATCTACGTGCACGTACGGGACTCAGTCTCCAAAATGGGCGCTCTTACTCACGCGATTTCCCAGTAAGGGCCCGCCAAAGTTTTTGGCAGGTAAGTTGCTAACTTGGGAACCAGAAAAGCTAGAAAGCTGAAATTTTAAGGCACTGTGTCCACACCTATATTTTTTTGTAGATCTTAATGAGTATCAATCCAACCCCTAGGAGTGTGTGTTTCCCATGTACGGGCTCGTGAAAGTGCTAATTTAGAAATCTGAAAAGACTGGAATTTTAAGGAGATGTTCCCGATCCATGTAAAACCTAGTGACTTCAAGCTCTGCCCCCAGTTGCGCGTGGTTCTCAACTACGGGTCAGTCAAAATTTTTTTGCGTGTAAGTTGCTAACGCAGGAACTAGAAAAGCTAGAAAGCTAAGTTTTAAGGGTATGTTTCCCGACAGTCCTGGCGGCCAACCTCAATTTTTTTAGCTGGAAGCATCTATCGAAAAAACAGTACCATTAACGACAAAAACCTGCGGGGAACTTTGCAAGAAATGCATCTTTGCGCTGGCCATTTATTTAATTATACTGAAATTGTGTTTAATTTTCTTCATTATGCCTTTTTGCTTATACGCAAATTGGAAAAACGCATACTGCGACGATCCTGTTTGTGTGTGTGTGCGTTCGTCTGTCCGCGTATTTCAACTTGCAATCAAGCAGGTCCCGGCGCCAAAATTTTGCTAGGGGGTTCCCCGGCCAGGTGCCATCTCAGAACCGCTGCACCAACCCTCACGCAGGGCTGAACCTTGCATACGAGGGGGTGAAAGTTTTGACGGGAGAATTGCTAACTCGGGAACGGGAAAAGCTAGAAAGCTGAGATTTTGAAACTATGTTTCCCGTCCAAATAGAACTCAAAGATTTCAAATTTAGCCCCCAGGCATGCGTTTTTCCCGCGTACAGCCCAGTAAGGGTTTCTGACGCGGAAATCGTTAACATGGGAGCCAGGGAAGTTGAGAGGGTGAAATTTTCAGGGGATGTTCCTGGCATATACACATCTTAAAGTTATCGAATTTGGGCCTCAGGCACGCGTGGCTCTTACGTACGGTTCGGAGAAATTTTTTGGTGGGAAAATGGCTGGCTCGGGAAAAAGGAAAGCTGGAAGGCTGATATTTTGAGGGGATGTTCCTAGCCCATGTGCAACTTAAAGTTATCAAATTCAGCTCTCAAGCATGCGTGGGACTCATGTCTGGCCCCGTGAAACTTTTTGGCGGGAAATAGCTAATTCGGGAACTAGAAAAGCTGGAAAGCTGAGATTTTAGGAGAATATTCCCTGTTCAGATACATCTTAATTGTTTCAAATTCAGCCTCCACGTACGCTTGGTTCTTGTGGGGGCACTTAGATTTTTGGCGGGAAAATTACTCATTGAATAACTGGGTCATTTTCAAAAAACGAACGCTATGCTGGAATTATTTGTTTCCTTTTATGCAAAGATTACGATGATTTACGGTACTGAGCGCACATGGGAGGTGTGAAGAAACAACCGTCCATACAGTTAACCTAATTCAAGTTTGGTGCAAAAATGCATGATCGCACCTGCTCGCCTGGTGCGTTCCAGCCTGGTTTTTTATGCGTTTTTGCCGTGCACGCCAGATCGCTGCAACAGGCAGCAAAAACGCATGTTGTAAGGACCCTGTCAGTGTGTGTGTGTGTGTATGTGTGTGTATGTGTATGTGTGTATGTGTTCCTTTGTCCATGTGTTTCAAATCGCTAACCACGCAAGCCTTGATGCTGAAATTTTGCCAGAATGTTCTCCAGCCAAGTGCCACCGCAGGACCCGGTATCAACCTTCACGCATGTCTGGACCCCGTGTACGAACACGTGAAAGTTTTGGTGAGAAAATTGCTAACCCGGGAGCAAGAAAAGCTAGAAAGCTCAAACCGCAGGGGAATGTTCCCTACTGGTGTATGACAAAAAGATTTGGCTATCCAGGACTGCCAGGGACTTACGTGCGGGCACGTGAAAATTATGGCGGGAAAACTCATAGCTCGGGAATAAGGATAGAAAGTTGAAATTTGGGGGAATGTTCCTTACGCAGAACCAAAATTTTTCAAACTCAGCTGCTTAGGACCGCTCGGGGCTCGCCTACGGGCACGTGAAAATTTTGGCTCGGTAAATTACTAACCCGGAAACGGGGAAAGCTAGAAAGCTGAAGCTTTATGGCAGCGTTCCCTACTCATGTACGAGCAAAATGAGGTATTTAGAAGCGCTCGGGCCCATGTACGGGCGCGTGGAAATTTTGGCGCGAGAATTAGTAACTCGGGAGCGGGAAAATCTGGGAAGCTGAAACTTTCCGGGAATGTTTCTTACTTATGTACAACCAAAATCAGTTGTTTAGAGGTGCCCGAGGCCCGCGTACGCTATATGTGAAAGTTTTGGCGTGGAAATTAATAACCCGGGAACGGGAGAAGCTAGATAGCTGAAACTTTAGGTCAATGTTTCTTACTCATGTACGAGCAAAATCACATGTTTAGAAGCACTTGGTACTCAAATACGGACACGCGAAAATTTTGGTGGGGAAGCTGCTAACTCGGGGACGGGAAAAGCTGAAGGCTTTAATTTTAAGGGAATGTTCCCTACTCATATGCAACTAAAAAATTTCAAATTTAACTGTTCTAGTGCGGCCTTTTTCGCGGGCCAGCAATTTTCCATTTGTCGGGTCATTAAAGTTCTACAACTGACATACCACATAGCTGCACAATTAACTTCCCGAACTTCGAGAGACAGTATTTCACAGGGTTAGCAACTGTGATTCCTTGCGATCTTGCTACGGCACGAAGAGTGCAAAAACGCATAATCGTACCGGCCCGCCTGGTGCATTTCAGCCTGGGTTTAATTCAGAACGTGTTGAAAAATTTTAGCGCAGCCAAACACCTAGTTATTTCTTTCTTTTATTACCAATTTTCAGTTTGCAAAAGCTGATAACGGTGCGATTCCGACACCCAAAACGTTCCGTGGGACCGGCAGTACCTCGTTTTCCTTACATTCCAGCAAAACGACAACTACGTCGAGTGCCGCTGCATCCAGTTCAGCAACCAGAAAAACTTCAACAGAAACAGCTATCACTACCGCAGCAATATCGAAACTTTCGTCTTCCAGTACTTCTTTTGCTCCAGCAAATGTTTCCGTGACGAAGCGGAACATTTCGCAGGGTAATCGGACTTCTGGGGAGACGACTACAGCAGAAGCAATTGGAAATTCGGCCAAGCGACACAGTTATATCAGGCCCACGGTAGATGCAAGCACGGAAGATATACTCCTGAAAAAGAAGGAAGTGACACTGGCGCCGAAGGTAGCGTGAGCTACGTTTGTACTTCTGAGAATCGCTTCTAACGCGTTTTTGAGCTGAATAGAGTGCTTCTTAGAATTTCTCAATATGATAAGCTCACTCGTTTAATCATTTTGGTAAGAAGTCAGACGGCAACGCACTAGGCTTACATGCGTTTTTGATTGATTTCATCCTGTAGAGAGATCGCCTATACTGCTGAGGTGTGAATGCGATGTTGCAGTTTGAAAATTCGATGCGTCTGTACGCAAGGCTCATGCCTAGACAGAAGCTTATCTTTTACTGGCCCGCGCATGAGCAGCATACATCCTCAGAAAAAATTGCTTCCTATCCGGTCTGTTTTCCAGGTTAGTTGGTGGCAACAGTGTCCCGAATTAAATAGCCACTTGTACGCGGGAAAAAACTAGGTATGCTATAAAGTTGGACCTGAAACCTTTAGGTTGCATATTAGCGAGGAATACCGTCGTAAAGTTTCAACTTCCCAGCTTGATTGGTTAGCGAAGTCGCTTTTCGCTACACAAGTCTTTTACGTGTTCGGACGCGGGCACTTAGGCGTAAAAAAGTCTACCTGCCCACTCGCGAGAAATGAATATTTTTGTAAAGGGGGAGGAGATATTCCCGTCACTTAATTCCTGAATTGGCATTTTGCCGACAGTATCTCAATTTCATGTTTAATGTGTCCGTACATGTGATGCAGGCGTGCGTTAAAGCTAAGTTTGAAATCTTTAGTTCAAAAAACGACATAGAACATACACGTGTAATTTCTGTCTTCTATCTGCTGCAGTTCCTGAAGTCGTTTTCCCACCAAAAAATTCGCATGAATTTTTTTAGTCTCAGGTATACATGAATGTTGGTTTAAAGTATTTGGATGGCCCATGGACTAAAAATATCCTTGTGAAATTCTAGCTTCGTAGCTTCTGCAATTGTCCGGAACAAAAATCGGAACACATGTACACAGACAAACACACACATATACACACCAACAGCCTCTCGACAATTTACGTTTTTAAAGATGCGCAAATGCATAGAAAATAAATTGGCGTGATTTTAATAAGGAACAAATGAGTAAATTATTGTAATGGCTTTTGATTTAAAAAAATGGGACCGGGAGATGGAAGAAGGGGTGGGGGAGAGGGCGAGAGGAGGAGAAGGACTTTTCAGTTCGGCTGAAGTCCTTGAAAAATAGGGTTTCGAGTACAATTAGAGTCTAATTTTCAGACTGCTACAGAGACTCCAGTGACTTTGCCGACTGATCTCGACACATTGGGGAGATTTAATTCAGAACGAGAATATTCTCCTGGACGGTTGCGAGCAACCGATGAAAGACTTCCGGTAGCACCTGAAAGGAAGCGAAATGGGGACACTTTTACTGAAAGACGCGAGGAGAAGCGAGTGGGGATTCTTGGAAAAAATGAGCATCTGGCAGTAACTGAAGCAAAATATGTGGAACGAATCGAGCAGCGGGTGATACAACGAGATGATGCACTAGGGCGATTCCGAGAGGGTGAAGTGACCATGGAGCGGGAAGTCCTAAGGAAAGAAAATGTGGCTTTCGGTGAAAGGAGTGCCCTACGAACTGCTCCGAAAGGTTTTTTTACTCTCTTCAAAATTATTACTAATTTGCTCTAAAATGCTTCTCTTCGCTCTTTTTTATGCGTTTTTGCTTGCTGTGCAGAAACGCATATCGTCGAGAGGTCGTCTGTGTGTGTGTTTTCGGAAGTGAATGAACTTTGTCAACCACTTTCATCTCAGCAACCAGGAAAGTTGGGAGGCTGAAATTTTGGATATACGTTCCTATCCCGTGCTTCTTCCTCCCGCTTTAAAATTTCCGCTCATACGTGCTTAGACCCCGCGTACGGACCCCCCAAAAAAATACGCAAATTTCTTTGGCAAGAAACGATTTTGCAAACCAGACAAGGTACAAAGCTGAAACTTTGCAGGGATATTCTCTATGCGTGTGCGAGCTAAAGATTCAAGTTCAGCTGTCATGCACACTTATTCAACGCGTACGATTACGTCAAAATTTGCAGCTTGGTACTGTGCTAGCTCACGTGCCGGAAAACAATGGCTGAAATTTTATTAGCATGTCTATCGCTCATGTAGGAAATCGTATACCTAAAATGAATGCTGATTTGCACTTATGCCACGACTTAGGCACTTCAGCGATATTTGTAGCAAAGTGGCTGTTTCGCTTACCGGGTAAGGTGCGGGGCTGAAACTTCGCTAAGATATTCTACTGTCGGATGCTGTCTTAATTCTGCTTGGAAGTGAAATTCCCTGCAGATGGGTATGAGAAATACTCAACTTTGCCGAAAAATCAGAAACGAGTGCGTTTTGCAGCGAACGACCGCTTTCATCCTCTCCCAACATCTTTTGAAAAGACGCAAATTTCCATTTCCACTTTTCAGTGAACTGGAAAGTGGAAATGGAAATTTGCGTCTTTTCAAAAGCCGATTATTTACTAGAAAAAGGACCGGGCTTCATGCAAAAAACTGATAATCATGTGCCTGGTCCATGCGGCCCTGTAATGCAACACCTCCATCCCAACCGACGCCCTTTTTCATGCATGTCGGAAGAGACTGAAGTAGGGCCAATATGAGCCCAAGTGTTAGACTAGAGCGCAGGGTTCATTTCTACCATTAGCGTTGTGCAAGTTTAGTGCAAAAACGCATGACCGCACCGGCAAGCCTGGTGCGTTCCAGCCTGGGTTAATGTCTCATCTTTGTTTTATTTTTGATAGAAGAGTTGTTCCAGTAGT